CACTTGCTGACTACCAAACATGAGGAGGTTTAAGTTCTTTTGTCATTATAGCATCCAGTCCTTTGAGATGGAAATGCTAAGGCTGACCCCACGCTCTCTGCAGAGAAACAGAGAGATTGCATCTACTGTAGAATATTGTCTTCGAGAGTGTATTACTTTTTACCTTTCTGGTTCAAACTCTAGCATAGTCTTCCTTGTAACTTTAGATCACTTAGTACTTAGCATATATTAGAGATTTCAATTAATGACTCAATTTAAGGGTCATAGGCTGAGCAGGATATGTCCACTGGGCCAAGGGGCTTTCTATGATGCCCCATTACTGAGGAAATTGGAAGGATACATTTCCGATTTCACCCTTAAGTGGGTAGTTTTATTTATTTATTTATTTATTTAATTTATTTATTCCGCTAGTTTTAGATTTAGTAGTAATGAATATGGACGTAGATTAATACTTTATCTATAGCCTGTGTGTATATATAGAATATCTGCTTCTGGGCGATACCGATATCAGAAATTTGATTTAAACCATCTGAAACTGCAAGCGTCTCTGTAAACTACTGAAGGTACCTGTGAGAAAATGCATCTGTCAGGGGTTGTAATGTGATACTAACACAAAACTGGAAATCTACTCAGTTCTGGTTCTCATGAAACAAATGACCAAGGGCACCAAATTTCCACTCTGGAAAATCCCATTAATGGCAAAGGCATCCAGATAGTTTTCAGCCACTCATCCTGATTACTATTGCTGGTCATCAGTTTCTCTCTGATTTCATAGAGTAGATTTATTCATATAATAATTTAATCCCGTGCTTTGTTTTGACTCTATCGGGGTACATAGGTCAGTCTGCGGACCATATGACTTTGGTGTATTTCCATCTCGCATTGATACCTCCTCGTCTTCTGGCAAGGTGAATTTTAAAGAGAAACTTTTCTACAAAACTTTTTTTTTTTTTTAATCAACTATTGTTTTGAATTTTCCTCCAAGTATAGGAAGACATTTATGGTAGAGTTTGGGTTTTTATTTATTTTTTTATTACTTGTTCATGTTGGGTTTGAGGTGATTTTACTCAAGTCTCAGGAGTTAAGAACAGACAATTGACTGATCTCAGAAAAGAAAGCATGTAAAAATTTTACATGCTTACCTGATAGTTTACTTATCATGGAATCTTTAGACTCACTTCACTCAGAATATTTTGTATCAAATGAATCCAAATGCTCATAAGGCCCTTTAAGACAGTGTTATTCAAAGTGCTAGTCCACAGTGAAATCAAGAGCTTGTGCAGAATGCGAATCAGTGCATTGCTTCCTTCATTAAGACAGTCTTGCTCCCAGAGAAAGTCACCTTAATGCCATCCAGACAGCCAAACCAAACCTCCCAGTGCCTGGCTCTTGGCTACACTATTAAAAGACTCAGATAAATGGCAGCCCGGTGTTTCTGCAGCTTAGGCAAGTTACTGAACATCTCTGTGCCTCAGGCTCTGAGAATGATAGCATGGGTAGGGTGAAGAGGAAGAGTGTAAGCCGGGAGATCGGTGGATAAGAGGAGTAACCAGCGATGAGGGGGCAGAAGTGGTATAGACTGCTGGATCCTTAAAATAGATTCTTTGAGACAGCTGAGGCTCTGGCAGGAGAAAGGGGGTAGTGGTCAGAAATCAGGCACACGGGCCCTCAAGTACCTGGGTTAAGGTTGGGGGATGGTCTTCATTTGAGGCCACAGAGGTCCTCGGGGCATAGCCAAGATTTTATTTGAGTCAAGGAGGTCGAGGGAGGCTTAAGGAGAGGTTGGGGATATATGGAGCTGATGCGTGAAACAAAGCCAAAGGGCCCCTGAGAGGGTCTTTGAGGGAGATGAAGGGATGGGCATTTATGAGTGGTGTTGGAGTAAGAGGTTGGTTAAGGAGGGATGTTACCCTGAGACGGTCCAAGGACTTCCAGTGGTGACGGAGGGAGACAGGAGATGCGACAGGTGGTGATGAGCCCCAGTGCTCTCTTGGAGGAGATTGGGAAGAAATTCTTAGCTCAGTGATGTGGGAGCTTCAGGTTAGTTGTCCCCAACCCTGACCTTGGAGAATTGTGCTGCTTTATTGCCTACATAGTTGAGGAGATGGTTGTCAGTGAACTGAAATGATATTTGATTAAACAGTATTTATCTGTGGTTGTTAATTACCTTTGGTACCTTTTTTCAACAAATATTTGTATAGCACCAGCTATTTGCAAAGCACCATGAGGCCCTGTCAGGAACACAAATACAAACACAAAACTTTTCTCTCTGCTTCTGAGTGGCTTCTAGTCTTATAAAAGAGAAATTCTGCTTAGAGGGAATCCATTGGTAAAAATCCATTCATATAATCTATTATGTCCCAAACCAGCAAAGCAAATTAATGCAAAATAGCCCATTTCTGAAAGAAAAGATAAACTTACTGCTTTCAAGGTCAGCATAAGAAAACCGGTCCCATCAATTTTAGTTTTAAAGGTGATGGAATTGTGGCTTTATCCATAGCTTTATACACTTCACCTTATTTCCCACCAACTTCTTCTCCTAGTTAGAAAGAAAGAAAAAGAGAGAAAAGTGAAAGTCAAAAGCAAAAGAAAAAAAGTTAAATACTTGCCTCGATTTGGTGAGAATGTAAAGTAAATCAAGTGGCAATTTAATTCTCAATGAACGTGTGACAACCATGGAGTTAAATATTAGATTTAAATATGGCAGCTAATTCTCTGCAAGAATTACATTTGTCTCTTTATATGGGCACTCTACCTAATGAACACATTTCTCTTCTCTTAAATTCAGCCGTTGCTACTAGAGCATGAGAAATTAATATACATTCTTATATTCATTAATATTGTTGCTCATAAAAGACCTTTTGATTTTTTTTTATCACCCTGCGTTCCCAGAGGGCCATGGAAGCCGTCATAGCTCCAAACCACATGAATTATCAGGGGAAAAATCCTATTAAAGTGAAACCTTAATCACCGCTTGCATTTTATATGAAATTGTATCTAAAAAGAAACTGTAGAGCAGATCCATCAACATAGAATGAATAAATAAGTGGTGGTATAGTCCTTTCAGAGAATATTATAAAGTAGTAAGAGCAAAAGAATTACTACTACACATACACTGTAACTCAATGCAACTCAATCTCAAGGACATTGTTGAGTGAAAAATGAAAGACATGGAAGAACACACATTGTATGTTTCCACTTATGTAGCAAAGTCAAACAATATCTCATTAGGGATATATCATTAGTAGCAAACCTGTAGAGGAAATGATTAACACAAAATTCAGGCTAGTAATCACCCCCAGAAGAGAGGGGGGAAGTGGATACCATTAAGGAAGAATAAGGTGTCATAGTGGTGTTTTCACCGTACTAATGATGGTCTGTTCTTGAATGGGATGGGAGGTTTACGTAATTTAAACTACAGAAATATGCTTTGTATTTCCTTTTGTTTTCACAATGCAGTTAACATTCAAGAAAAAAACTTTTAAAGAAAGATCATCAAATTAAACCACAGTAATAAATCTTCCACAGGCTCAGCACCTGAGGCATTGCACATGATTATAGGAGATAGATGGGGTTGCTCTTAGCCTCGGGGAGTTTACAGATGTGCAATGATTGGGAGATAAGCCAGAATTCAACTAAGCATAAATCATGACATACTATGAATTCAGAGAAGGAGGACTTTAGTGGCCAAAGTTGTCTTGGAAACCCTCTCAGGAAGTAAGAATTTGAACTGGCCTTTGAAGGGTGGAAGAGTATATTTACTTTTTATTGTTTATATGTTTCTATTTCTCTTGCCATGTGTAACACAATTTGCTATGGAAAAGAAACTTTGTGCATGTACTCTGGATTCAGATAGACCTGAATTCAAATTTCAACTCCTCTGTTCCCACGCTGAGAATCACTGAAATTTCTGCAGACTCAGTTTCCCCACTTACAAAATATGGAGAGGGATGCTTCCCAGGGCTGTGGGAGTAAAATGAGAGAATACCATTAGCTACACATTCCAAGTTCCAGAGGGCTTCTCAATCTCTTTTTAATACTGCCATTCAGGGATGAGGCATCCAGAAAAGAATGGCGGGCAATGACCTTGTGGAACCCTGTGCTGAGGGCGGCAGCATTTGACGGTCAGGGTGAAGAAGCACAAGCTCCCACTGCAGCTCTGTCCTCCACAGAGTCTCCATTTGGGCTTCCCACTGGCTCTGTCCTTCTGAGCAATGCTTCGTTCTGCTCCCCCCCTTGCAGCCGATGGGCTTCCAGAGAGCCTTGGCTGCCTCCTGCCTTGTTCCTCAGGAAGAAGTACAGATGAGTTGATGTGGACCAGCTTCACTCTAGACTAGATGGGGAAGTATTCTCTCTGCCATGCAGCTATTCTTGTCTCTTGTTGGCTTTGGAGAGCCAAAACTAGGGTATGATCTTAGAGAGGGTTGGGGAAGCCAGCCATAGCATGGTCTAGACATTTCTGGAATGAGAAGTGAGTCTCAACCATGGTGTAGCCCGGCTCACCAGGAGGACAAAGCTTTAACTAGCCATGACCGGTTCTTGCCTTTTCCCTTTGTTTCCTCCAAGCCTCCCTCCTCTAGAAGTCTGAGGCATCTTAACAAAGAAATAGGGATTCCTGGCTCTCTCCCTGCCTTTCCCCGCGAGACACACAATGAACAAGTAGATGCAAAGCGTCTGGCTTGTGAGAGGCCTGCCGTTAATGTCCCATCCTTTCTCATTTCTCCCCTCTCCTAATTTGGAAAGTTCATTAATGACATTCTGTAGCCAATGGGGAGGTCACTCTTTCAGTTCTAGTGAAAATAATAATTAAGCTCTGGAGAGCACGCTGGTGCAACCTCCTTCCAGCCATTTGGGGTGGACAGTGAGGACGGATACTGAGCCTCTCCTTTGGTTTGCTGGTGCAGAGGGGAGAAGCTCAGGAGGCGGGCCCCTGACTCCCACCCTCTGCCTTCACCTCCGCGTGCCTCGATTCCAATTTCCATTCTGTCTTTGTTTTACAGTTGTTCAGCACATCAAGAGACATAACATTGTTCTGAAAAGGGAGCTAGGCGAAGGAGCCTTTGGAAAAGTTTTCCTAGCTGAATGCTATAACCTCTGTCCTGAGCAGGACAAGATCTTGGTGGCAGTGAAGGTAAGAGAACACTCCAGAATGTCTCATTATCCGTGGTCACACTCACATGTGGAAGTACGTTATTTCATGTTATATTCAGCCAGTTCAGGAGCAAATTATGTCTGCTCTGGTGGATGTGTTCAAGTTTCCTGGAACTAAGGGGACGGTGGGAAGGGTGTTTTGGGCATATCTAACTGTCAGAGCTTCTTCTCAGGGGCGACCTACCAGTCCATAGGCTGTAAATAGCTCTGGGCTACTCTTCCAAGTCAATGCTAACTAAACACTGGCTGGAGGTCAGTAGGGTCAAACAGAATTCCTGCAGCCAAGTCTTGGAGACTCAATCTGTGTCCTTGGACGGCTCGGTGCTTGTGCCAAGCTCAGGTGCAGCTTGTCTTCAGCGGAGGCTCTGGGAGGGAGACTGGAGTTCGCTTTCCCTCTCAGCTCTCTGTTCTGCTGACATCTTCTGTTACACCTGTCCCTGTCCCTCCCAAATGTTCCCAGAGCCCCAGGATTGAATACAGTATGGGCATGATTCCATTCTGGGGTGGATGGCATCTCTTGTAGATTCCACCACCCTCGGAGACACAAGGTTTTACTGAAATAAAGGAAGCTGAAAGTCCCTACTTCCCACCACTTCCCCTCAAAACTCAAAAAGGAGACTTGGTCTTGAGTAAGATAAATGTTACTGGAGGGGATGAAATTTCCACTCAGCTCTCTAAAACATAAGAATTAGCAAAAATAGCACAAAAGACTTCAGCTGATCTTTTACATATGCATTGTCAAAACTAAAAAAAAAAAAAAAAGAAAACCCAACTCACCAAGGTATTGAATAATATATGTAAAAGACTTAAAAGAGGCATATATTTATAAAATGAATTAAGTGGCAAAGGAATATGGGCTTGGCTAGTATAATAAAATGTAGCTTCTTGGCTTCACGGAGGATGATTGGGTTTTGTTTGTTTCTGCCAAACACAGGATGTTTATAGAGTGGTGTTTGTTTACTAGTCACAACCAGGACAACCTTTCATGTTTAAAAATCTAATGTCTATTCCATTAGTGCTGTACTTAGCATCAAAATACTTTAGTATATACATAATAGGTAATTGAGGAGAGAGAAAATTCTTCTGGAACTTACCCATCCTGTGGATTAAACACAGTTTCTGTTAAAATTCATCTAAATGAAGAAACGGTGCATTTGCTTTCCTGATATCATCTAGAGTAACCAAAACTGAGTGGCACGGAGGCTCTCAGACTCTCACCAAAGGTTTCTAAAAGCTGCACTTTGGAGCAAATAAAGGACGGAACTTTCTAGGGAGGGTAAATGTAATATCAATAAACGTCATCTCACTAAGCTAGGCAAATGGAGGGGGAGAGGGAGCCAGAGGAGAGGAGACAGGAAGGAGAAGCTGGAAAGATGGGAGGTCAAGCGGGGTAAAAGGTGTAAAATAAGAATCCTTCCGTGACTCGGGGTGGGGGTGCGGGGGGCGGTTCCTGGTTGTGACTGCTTCCTCTTTTCTTTCATTTACCCAAAAAGTTTGTTATTTTTTAAAGCACAAAATGTTCAGAACATTTGGCAGTGTTCTATCTGCAGTCTTCGCTTCCCTCTGCAGCTTTTCCCCGCACTTTGGATAAATGGGACCGAAAGGTGCCTCTATTTTTGTAGATTCATAGACTGATAAAATCTGAGAGCTGGAAGAAGCTTAGGGAAGCTCTGATCCTAATCTAGCCACGAATTATACACAAGGACACTGAAGACCATGGATTCATGTTCTGGGTTCATGTTTACTCCCACTGATATTTGGAGGCCACCCAGGGAGCTAAGTCAGGCCTTCAGACTCTGAATTCAGATTCTTGGGGGTCACAAGGTGAGCATCTTTGGATGTGAGAAAATTCTGGGAGATTAGGAAATCCTAGATGACAGTGTAGGAGTAGCTGAGGGACCTCAGCCAGATATGGAGAGGGAATCACCAAATTTCCTAGTGGGGAGAGCCTTTCATTTTAGTGTCGTTCCGTATTCTCTGCCTGCTTCACTGTACTTCTCTGAAAGCCCTTGAAAACAGGGTGTTCTCTGGCTAAATCCAGGCACCCTCAACTCCTGCATTCATTTCCTTCCCAACACATGCTAAGACAGGGCTTCAGGGCCTGGCCTGGTCATGATGAAGGATCAGCCAGCGTCAGCGGGGTGTGGACGATTGCCCTGCCCACAGCCTGCTTCCATTTAGGCACATTTCCCACTGCTATTATCAGTGAGGGTTCTCCCTGGTTTGAATCCAGTCCCAGTCCTCATCCCACCTCTGACCTAGACACAGGACCTGGTCCTCATAAACCTCCTGCCAAAGAAGTTGGCGAATTCATGACCTATGGTGAGTGCTTGTGAATCAACACTGCTAAAAACAAACCAACCAAAAACCACCAAACCAACACAAACTTGATTTTTCCCCTGTATCAACTCCTGACTCCCTCTCTGCTAGTTCCTTCTTGTTGAAATTCAAATGAAACTGTTATTTCAAGTCAAGAGGACGAAACGCCTGCCGCTCAAAAATTCATTCCAACTTCAAGGTCGCACACCTAAGACGTCTCATCTCCACGACCTTGCGTGCGAAGTCTTGTTGCAATCAGAGGCTATGTTTGCCTGAATGACTTCTAGCTTCAGAGAGGATGCCCATTTTCACTTTCTGGGATCCAGAGGCTGCAGCCACCCAAGGCACGAGTCAGACCTTCCCCAGCTCCAGGATGAATGGATCGGAATAACACACGGGCCCCTTACAGAGCTGCTCTCACCAGCCTGACCTGCTCAATTTTCAGGCTGTGGGCTCAGCAACTGGAAGTGTATTCAAACACTATCCCCTGAGCCTGGGAGGAAAATGTCTATGGTTCAGTCCTAACCACAGCAAAGTGATTTTTTAAGGAATGAGACAAACGGAATGCAGCTTCCGGGGCCCCACCCAGCCTGTCACCTCTGAGGAGTTGCCGCCAGAGATGCTCCTCTTCCATTGGAGGCACCCAGGGATGTTTGACAGGCTTTCTGCCCGTTGCCTAGCAACCCCTGCAGCATTGATTATGCATCTAAGAAATAGCAGCTATTGTCCTCTTTCCTTCTCTAGAAGGAGCTGACTGGTTTGAAATCCAAGGCTTTGCATTTAGACTGACAGATGTCAGTTTCCTGTAAATTCTGGCATCGCCTGCCCCAAATGATTTAAAGAACTTGAGGGATCTGCAGGAGCCGGTCTAAGACGGAAGTGATCCTAAGACACTCGAGAACCCACGAGGGCTGAGCACACCTCTCCCGTTAGAGGATCTGCTTGTTTGGAGCCAACCAGATTGACCTTTTCTTGATATTTTTTGGATGACCTTTGCTTTTTAGTGAAATGGACGCAACAACTGTTTTTTTCCCTTTACACTGAATTACAATTGAAGAACCCATAAAGAGGACGAGGAGCAGAGGAACCCATCTTTGAACAGAATGAGTTACTTTACCTTTAAGTAACTCAATTGCCAAGGAAACGCTTCATGGTAGTTTCCCTGCATTAGCTGTGGGTTAGCTATTTTTGGCTCTATCCAACCTGCATTTCAATGGCTATGATGCCTACAACATTTTCTTGTACTATGAATGCATGCTGATTTTTGTTTTTTAAATAAAGTGCGCTTCGTAGGATTCATGGCCTCTCTTCCCCCTCTCCACTAACTCAGGTGTATTTCTAGAAATGCTGCATACAAGACAGACTTTAGAAACCATATAGAACCCAAGTCTCATGTTTTATAGATGAGAAATCCGAGACCCAGGGAAGTCGAGTGACTTCCTCGAGGTGTAAGTTAAAGCAAGTGAGAGGCACTGCACAGGAACATTTGAGACTAGGAATGGTGAGATCTGACTTCAGCAGGCACTTCCTTCCGGATTTTTGCATTTCATGATTCTGAATATCTTCTTGTTAACAGAGGGAATCATGATGATTTTCTTCACCAGGGGTTTTGGAAGAGTTGACTGATAAGCTCTCTGGCACATTACTGTTCTGCAGCCCCTAAGTAGCATCCAACATGTTTTGCCATTCCTATGTCTGGAGAGCCCTACCTCAGCCCCTCAGTCCACACAGCTGCCATTAATCCCTCCGCTCTCCATTCAAGTTGCTCATCTTTGGGGAGACCTCCCCTTGCCTGATATGCCAGCTGGGTCAGACCTCGCTATTATATTTATTAAGGCATCTGTACTTGTACTTTATAGACTTTGTCAAGGTTGTTAATTCTATATGTATCTGTGGGCTTATGTCATCAATGGCATGACTGTGTGTCTCCTCCGTTAGAGTGGCATATCCTTGAGGGTGGAATCCATGCTTTTTAGCACATTGTCTAATATCTAGTAGCATGGAATAAATGCTTGTTGAATAAATGAAGGGACGGATGGATAGATAAACTATAGAAAAAAGTAGCCTTTGAAATAGTGAAGAGTCGCAGTTGGCATTTCTAGGTAAGGAAACGATCTGATGAGCTACTGATAGTCATAGAATTTTATAGCTGAGAGGAACTGTAAAGATGATATATATATAGAATAATGTAATCTAATGAGAAATCATTTTAGAAATGATTAAACAACCATGCAGATATATAGAGCTATTAACTGATGTTCTTTAGCTTAACTCCCACATTTTGCCAGTGAGGAAATGGGAACCCAGAGAAGACAAATGACCCATCCAAGATCGCGTAGCTTGAACAAGGGCACTTAATGTCAGATCTAGGACTAAAACTCAGGCCTCCCCATAAGTCTGATGCTCATGATGCACCACACTTTTTACTTATTGAATTTTGCACATGCTCTAGTAGACCCAAGTGAAGAAATTCAACACAATGCCACTTACCAACTAATGCAAAGGTATATGTTAGTTGGGCTCATTTGTATGTAAGGATGAGAGACACTTTTGTGTTTTTCTGAGTAGAAATGCAATTCCAAGAAATAGGTGGAAATAAAGAAACCTTGAATGAATATAAGCAAAACATCATAATCAGCTTTGATAAGAAGAATTATAGAA